GAGGTATTTTTGTTGCAATTAAAACATTTAAAATGAGTTTTACAGATGAAGAAGAACGAGAAATAATGATAAAAGATATTAAAGCAGAATGTAATTTAATGAAAAGACTAAGAAATCCATATATCATTGGATATATTGGGTCAGTAACATATATTCCAGAAATTAGTTTAATTATGCCATATGCAATGTTTGATTCATTAAACCATTATTGTCGTCCACCACCTGATGGGATTAAATTATCATATAAATTTAAAATGAGAATATTAAAAGATGTTGCAAAAGGAATGAGTTTTTTACATGAAAATTCTATTATGCATCTTGACTTAAAACCAGATAATATCTTGTTAAGTTCATTATCATTATCTTCTGATTCAGTTGCTAAAATAACAGATTTTGGAACTTCAAGAATTAAAAGAAATTCTGATAAAGGACTTGGAACACCATTATATCTTGCACCCGAAACATATGAAGATCATTATTTATATGCAAGTGATGTTTATTCATATGCAATTACTTCATGGGAATTAATTTGTGAAGAAGAACCATTTTGTGATTTCCAAGATTTATTTTCAATTAAATCACATGTTCTTGCAGGATATAGACTTCCATTTCCTGATTTTATAAGTCCAAAAATGAAAAATGTTATAATGAAATGTTGGGAACAAGAACCAAATCAACGACCTAACTTTGGAGTTGTTTCTACATGGATGTTAGAAATTGTAAATGAAACACCAAATATTAGTCATCCACAAGATGATACTGTTGATAATGAAATATTATCAAATTTAATTGAAGAAAAGAAACACTTGATGGAACAAGTAATGTTTGATTAAAATCTAATTTATTCAATTAATATTATTCATCAGAAATAATATCTCCATTTTTCATTGTCCAAATATTTCCATGCATTTCCATAAATTCACTAACATGACGTTTTATTTCAGTTAATGAAATAATTTCATTAGAACCATTAAATTTCATTGATTGTAAATGAGTTCTTAATTCTTGTTGTGTAAATTTTTGTTTTTCAATAGCAAATTGAAGAATAGCATTTCTAACTTCTTCATTTTTATCTTTAGGACATTTTTTTCCAACATAAACAGATCCAATATGATATGAAATAGGTTCTAATGTTGCTTCAATAATTTCTTGTGTAATAGTTTGTTTATATAATTTACTTGTTTTACGTTTAGTTTCTTTCTTTACACCATCAATAAGTGTTGAAATTTTCATAGCACCTTCTTTTAGTAATAATCCTTTTAATAATTGAGATAATGGTTCTTGATTTTCTTGATTTAATGATCCAATTACTTTCTTTTTATCAGTTATTATTTTTCCAAATGAAAATTCATCTCCTTCAACATCAAGTTCTTTCATTCTTTTAATAACACCTTCTTTAACTGTTTTCCAATGTTGCTTACTTGATTGTGCAAGTGTTGTCCATTCATTTTCTGTTTCTTCATCTTCAACTTTAGCAACCCAATAATATTCTCCATATTCTGGTTTAACTAATGTACAATAGTTATCAAAAACTTTTCTTACCATTTTAATTCTTTGTGTATAATTTGGCCATAACTCTTCTATATCTTCCATCTTAACTTTTTTCTTTAATGAAAGTGTAGATAATACAATTTCTCTAACACAATTTTCTCGTTCTCCAATTTCTTGAATAAATTCTCCTTTTAAAACTAATGCCCCATTAACAAGATAACATAATTCAGCTAACCATCCTGTTAATGCTGATTCTGAACTTTTTAATACTTCTGTAATTCTTGATAATTTCATAATTCTACCAATACGTAATGTATCAATAATTCTATCTCGATTTTGTAATAAAGGTGCTGGTTGTTCAATTAATGGTGCAAGTTTATTAATATATTCTTTAACATCATTTTCCCATTCAATTTTCCCTTTTGATGATTTAATCATTCTTTCTACAACTTCAATAGTTTCATTGGAAGTAGTATCATTTAATTTCATTTTGATAGCTTCTTCTGCTTCATCCTTTTTTAATTGTTCTAAATCTTTTTGTTTCTTTGTTGGTGCTGCTGAAACTGCAATTTTTTTCTTCTTTCCATCTGCAGTCATTCCTTCTGCTTTTTCTGGTTTTTCATCAATTATATCTTCGTCAATATATTGAAGTTGTGGTCTCATTTGTGCAATTGTAGAAACAGGAAATAATACTAATGTTGGTTGATTTTTAACTTCTTTAACAAATCCAACAGCATAATTAGCTTTATTTTCAGTAACTGTTCCTTTGTATGTTTGAGATGTAATTTTATAAATACTTTCTTCATCAATAAAGTCTTGTTCTAACTTTACATCCATTTCAATTCCTTTTTGTAGTGGTTTGTATCTCACTTCTTTTACTTGTGATAAGTCAAATGGTCTCCATGCTAATCGTGTTGGATATTGCATAAGAAATAATTCTTGTTCATTACTATCACATAAATATACTGGCATTTCTAATTCAACAGGATCATTCTCATCATTATATTCTTCCATTGTGTTTTAACTTGTCTCTTTTTATTTTTAAAGGGTTTTTCTTTTTTATCATTTTTCTTTTTTGAGTTTTTTGTTATTCCTTTATGAAATTTCAAAAAATTGTTAAAGAAGATAAAAACTTTTAATTTTTTCTTATATTCTTCTTGTTCTATATTAAGGATATTATTTCTGTAAAAATAATTTATGAAATCGAAGACTGTAATAAAGAAAATTTAGCTTTATTATTTTTATTTCATTGAGTAGAAAAAAAAAAGATTTAATAGAATCTGAGAAAAAAAGAACTTAAAAAATAAAAGTGATGGGATTTCTTGGTATTGCAAAAGAAAATCTTGCAATGTACATTGTTACATTTTTCTTCTTATTGTTGGTGATGGTCTTTTCAGTAATTGCTTTTATTCTTATTACAACAGAAAATGTCAAATTTGATTACACAGAACCAAACATTGTAGTCGTGAATAATTTGAATTGATTTAAATAATTATGATGTTTTTTCATCTTCATTCTTTGTTTTTTTTATCTTTCTAAATGAAAAGACACTTGTCTAAAAGTGTAAATTTGTTAAAGAAAAGTTATTAAATCACAAAATGCAGAATTTACTGGATGATGCTGATAAAGCTATTAAAGGAGGTGTGAATAATAATGAAGAATCAAAAAGTCATTTAATCAAGTTAATTAAAAAGGTGCTTGATGACTTAGGATATTCTGATGATCCTGAAACTATTCTTACAAATCCAAAAAAAATACTTGAACTTTCAAATAGTATTATTCATCAATGTAATGAATATCTTAATGAGAAACAAAATCCATCTAAAATTCTTGTTTCTCCAAAAGTTAATCTTTCTGTTTATTCATTAGAATCTCTTGACCATCGAATTAACTCAAAAAATGCTCTACTTCCTATTGCAATTGAAAATAATACTTATGAAATTGAATCACCTATTTTATTCTTTGGAGATGATACAAAACAAGTTTGGCAATATCAATTTCAAGATAATCAACTTTTACCAAAGATGGAAGATATGAGTCTTATTGAAGTTTCTACTAAAGAAGAATTAAAATCTTTTATGGGAAGAGTTATGCAATATCACCAAGTTTCTCTTTCATTTGGTATTGATAAAAGAAACAATTATAGAGGATATCTTTGTATTCTTTTTGTTGCTTTCAGTCATTTTGTTTATGTTCTGGATATTTTAAAATTAAAAGAATCTTTTGAAACAACATCTCTTCTTTTTGAAAGTACTTCCATTGAAAAAGTATGTTATAAAGCTTTTGGAATCAGAGCATTATATTATCAATTTAAAATAACCACAAATAATGTATTTTTACTCGATGTAGCTTGTCAAAAAATGAATATCTGTTATAACTATGCTGATTTATTTAAAACAATGACAGATAGAATTCCTGAGACAAATGATGAATGGATGATTCGACCTTATTCAAAATATGTCATTTGTTGGTTTGGATTAGACACATTACAACTTCTTAATTTCTCCATTAAGATTCGAAATAAGTTAATAGAACAACATCTTCTTCATGATGTATTTGTGGAAAGTGATAAAGAAATATTACCAGGTGGAAGAAAATATGAAATGAAACGAATCATTAAGAAGAGAGCATCTTATAGAAAATACTCTAAAGAGCAATTTAAGGCATTTAGTCAATTGTGTGAATGGAGAGAAAAAACAGCAAGAAATCAAAACATTAGTGTGAATGAAATTCTAAAACTTGGTGAAATTGAAAAATTAATTGCAAGTGGTGCTTCCAGTTTAGAAGAATTTAGTGATGTTTTACCAAACAATGGGATGGTATTATTGTATGGAGATGAAATTACTTCGATTTTGCATGACTATCATTTTCATTTTAACTCTACCAAACAACATGGTTGGATTAATGTTGAAGGTGTATTTTCTAAAGAAGAGCCAATGATGATATTCAAACACTGTGAATGGAAAGAACAAGAAAGAAAGTTAAAAGAAACTATTCAAGAACCGTATGATGTTTTATCTACTAATGACACTACTCCCTTGGAACAAATGATTTTAAAAAAAGTATTATTAACACCTTCTGAGGAAGGGTATGAAGAATTAGGAAGTGAACATACTCCATCACCTCAACTACCAGAGTCTATAGAAGAAATATACAAATGGTCGAGATTAAGTCGTAAAATTAACAAGAAAAAAATAAATAAAATGTAATTCAAGTATTAAAAAGAAATAAATAGAAAGAATAATTAAATAATATAATTATAAAAAGAAATAAACCCATAATTTACAGAATAATAAAAAAATTAAATTAACAAGAAAAGAAAAAAAAGATAAATGAAGATGATGACTAGACTTGGCAGTCTCCCTGTTCGCAGTTTCATACTGAATAAATATGAGGATAAAGGGTTCTGATTCATTTTTTTGCTTTTTACAATAATTAAATTTGTTTTATAAAAATAAGAAAAGTTAAAAAACAAATCAAAAAGAGTTGAAACTCAAAAATTGAAAGACATGAGTCAAATGGATCAACCAATATTTTATAATGATGAGTTTATTCTTGCACTAAACAGAAATGACCTTAATATGGCATATCACATTTTACGTAATTCATACCAAATTATCTATGAAGTTATCCAATCAACAGCACCAAGTTTGTTAAATGAGAAAATTACTTATATTGGTAGTTAGTACTTATTTTTAGAGAGTGTTGCTGAATTAAATACAAAAATAAGTGAAAACACTAAAACTGTTACTCAAATGTGTGAGAATGCTAAGACTGAAACAGCTAAATTAATGCAACAAATTGAAGAACAGGAAAAGTCCATTCCTGACCTTCAACAAATGTATGAATTGACACAACGACAATTAGCTGAACGTACAATCATTTTAAAGAATCAAGTTAAACTCCAAAAAGATGATAATGCTCAATTAAAAACAATGTACAATAAAATTCAATCTACTCAAGAAGATGAATTTAACCAAATCTTAGAAGAAGCCCAAAAACCATTAGAACTTCAGGTTGAAGAACTTAAAAAAGAAAAAGAACAATTAACTAATGAGGTTGATCAATTAAAAGCACAATCAAAGAATAAAGAAGAACTTCTTAAAGTTGAAGAAGAATTCCAACAAGAAAAACAAAAACTTGAAGCAGAAATTAAAGAAGTTCAACAAAAAATTAATGCAAGAAATGCTGAAGTTCAAAAATCACAAAATGAAAATGATGCTTTGGTTGATGAAGCAAAACAAAAAGATGCCATTATCCAAAAAATGAATTATGAAATGATTCAGAAAGATACTGAAATTAAAAAGTTACGAGCTGAACTTGAAGGTAAAATTGTTGACAGTTATGCTTAAATAACTTCTTTATTCACTTCATCTGATTTTTGTTATTTATTTATTTTTTTGTTTAATCATTTCTTTACTTCAATTGTTAAAAAATAGAGAGAAGAATGAACTGAATATTTTCATTTTGATGAATATTCATTATGACTCTATAAAAAAGAAAGTCTCTTTTTCACCTAATGGAATAACTCCTCTTAGATATTTTGTATGTTTTGTATTATCAAATTTACCAATTATATATTTATTATATTATGTTATTACATTAATTGTGTCTATGTTTAATAATGAATTTACAATGTCAATGGGAAATAGATTATTTTCATTAACTAAAAAATCTGTAATGGATCCACAAAACGTTTCAATCATCACAGCAATATTACTTTCTATTTTATCAATTATACGTTCAGAAAAAGAACATTTAAAACTTTTATTGCCAAAATTGTCAATTCTCATTAATTACATTGTCTTTTATTATCTTTGTAGATTATGTATCAAAAAATTATCAGAACTTCTCAAAGACCCAATGTGTCAATCTTTTCATTCAAATTATAAAAGTATCTCATCATTTTCTTTCGCTACAACTTTTTTCTTTCTTGTCTTTTCCCATTTATTATCATCTTCAGATTCAATAGAAACAGACATTCGTCCTATTAGTTATATTACTACATTCCCTCAATATCCACCAGCACCTTTGTCCCTTTATTATCAAAGTATTGGACCATTTTCATGTAGGTTTAGTAGATGTTGTGAAAAATTATTATTTGGAATGAATTGTAGTTATCATTTTGCTATGTATCATTTATTAATTTTATATGTTGTTTCTTCTATATTAACATCAAATGATATGTTAGAAAATGGAAATCATTCTCATCAACAATCATTTTATGGAGTATTACTTGCATATATATCTATGTTTATTATAGACTCTATTGAGTTTTATTGTCGTCCTTGGTTTAATAGTTGTATGATGGTTAATGTTTTATATTTTATATTTTTTCATATAACAACTCCTTCAAAAGGATTAAATATAACACTGTGTCATCTAATTTCATTAGCAAATGGCTTTTTATCATTTTATATTTATCGAAAATCATTAATTCATTATTAATTATTCTCAATTTGTTGTTTTTATTTACTTCCACTCACTCTTTTACTTTCATCAAGTAAATTATATAAATGTTATATATAACATTTATATAATATGGTTGTTTTTTTTAAAGAAGAACTAAGAAATATAAACAATCAATAACGTTGAGATGTCAGAATTTGTAGCATTTAATTCTACTGTACTTCCTGACAATGACTCAATGTTAAAGAAATATTCAATTCCATTAGTTTTACAAATAACACCTTTTGCTGAAAAGGAGGTACCTAATATTCAAGTAAATGCAGTTTCAGATATGCCACGGTTTGTTTAATTATTTTAAAGATAAAAGGATAGTATTAAATAAGAAGGTGTGCATATTGTAGAGCATTTATGAGTAAAGAAATGAATTGGATTAGATTAGGAGGAAAATATATTTGTGGATATTGTCGTCATAGTAATGAAAAGTTTTATTTGAGATATAAATTTATGGAACGAGATGGTGTTAACTCATTTCCTGAATTAACTAATGACGTTTATGAATTTGAGTATCAGAAGTCAATGAATACTATTTACCAAACAATTATTATGATAGACACTTCTTATAATTTTATTCAAACAAAGGATTATAAGAATATGCTTATTTCATTGAAAAGTTATGTTAATAATTCTATTTCTTTACGTCATTATATTTGTATTATTACATATAATACTAGTATTACTTTATATCAGATTGGAGATACTACAAGACAATTGAATTTTCCTATTATTGATGAGAAAGTTAGTCAATATACAATTCCTTATTATAAATCAATATTTATTAATTCAGATAATAAGCAACGTATTAATGAATTATTTGACTCTTTATTAGATATTGAACAAATGAAAGAATTAACAGAAAATAATCCAAGAGGGTGTTGTTTTGGTACGTGTCTTGAATTAGCAAATGATTTATTAAATGCACGTGGTGGTACTATTATTTCTGTGTGTGGAACAAAATGTGGATTAGGAAAAGGGGTTTTATCAAAGAAAGTTAATGAAAATTATTTTAATTCAACACAAGAACCTATATTATTACAGCCTGATCATTCTAATGATTTCTATCAAAAAATAGCATTACATTGTTCTGCAGTTAATACTGTTGTTCATATGTTCTTATTTGAAAATGAAGACTTAAATGTTCCAACTATTTCAGAGTGTTGTCATCTTACAAATGGAGTATTAAAAGTTTATCAACCAAACACAACACCTTTACAAAATATAGTAATAGATTTATCTAATTTAATACCATTTGCATTTGATTGTGCAATTAGATTAAGACAACCTAATTTCATTAATATAGATTATGTAAATGGTCATTATTTTCAAAAAACAATTACAAATTATACAATGCCTGTACTTAGAAAAGACTCAACATTTGTTTTTCATCTTTCAATCAATGGTGAAATTAAATATTCTAAAGCTCTTTTTCAATTTGGACTATCTTATATTACTAGTGATGGTTCTAAAAGAACACGTGTTTTTAATATTGGGTTAAATGTATCTTCTAATATACAAGACTTTATGACAAATATCAATACACAAGCTACTATTAATGCATTATTATCCCAAACATTAATTCAAGCTCAACAATATACTTTAAATCAATCAATCTCTAAAACAATGGATTCTTTAATAACATATAAAAATCTTCTTGTTCAAGGATCATTCCTTCCTATTTATTTGTATGGAATGAGTAAACATGAATTCTTTAATAATAAACAATTATCTGTTGATTCTCGTTATGAATTATTGTATCATTTACAAACATTTTCTCCATCTTTATTATCTGAATTTGTTCCATTATTATACAAAGTTATTGCATTTGATGATGTTCAACAAACTCAATTATCTTCCTCATTAATTACAAAAGATATTTTTGTGTTAGTCACAAACCAAATAATTGTTATTGTACCTCAAGACATTGAACCAATAAATCTTCAACAATGGTTATGCATTTCTTCTTTAAATGAAGTAGAATCTATTATAGATTGGAACACATGTTTAATAAAAGAAGCAATCAAAAAGATTAAAAATATGAATAAAATGCTTAGTGTTGTTTTTACACTTTATGGATCAACACAATTCCAACAAAAAGTGTCTCATTGTTTTATTTTTGATGATTCAAAATATCGTCAATTCCTTTAAAATAGAACATCATTAAACAAATAATCGTTTCTAAACATTTAATTTATTTTTTACTTAGAAACTTAACCAATTCTGTTCAAAGTCTGCAGCTGAGTCTAAGAACTGTCCTTTTAATGAATATTTAGAGAAATGTGATGGTAAATTTAAATATGACTTTAAATACCGTGCTTTAGCCTGTCCTTTCCATCCAACAAAAAGAATTAACCCACATGCTTCTTTATTACTTTTTCTTGCTTCTGCACAAGTCGTTCCATCACTAAAACTATAAATTTCCTTTCATCACTAATAAATCTTTTTTTTAACAAACTATTCAGTAATTTTAAATGCACAAAAATCTGCTAAACAATCACTACTAGCACAATCATTACAATCTGTATCCCAATCAACTGACTCAATATGTGAATCATCATCAAGATTTACTTGTACTGAAACTAATTTTGGTATTTGACTTGCTGAATATACAAGATGTGGTTCTGAATATCTATAATTTACAAGTACTCTACAATAAATGTCATCGTTTGTTTTATTCCCTATTAAATCATAGAAATTATTAATTTTTAATTTTGTCATTACGTCAGTCGGAATTACAAATGACCTTCCAGCAAATGGTTTAGTTTCATTACCTGAATCACTGTAAAATAATACTAAAATTCCACTATGAAGTGATCCATCAATTTTGTATGAATCATTTTTAATTCGTTCATTAATAGCATCGAATGAATTTTCATTATCATCAGACGCTGCATGAGCGAAACAAAGAAGTGCAAAAAACACTATCATCACTTATGTCTTTTTAAGTTTTTTTTTGATAACACTATTATTCTATTTTTAGATAGTAGAAAAATAAAAATATGATTCTAAAAAAAAGTATATTTACCTTCTTTAAATAACTTTTATAATATTGCCATTCCTCACTTTTTATTTACCTTCCTCCAAAATAAGGAAAATCACTAAACAATCTCTACAGAAGTGTTGAAAATAAAAGAAAAAAACAGTCTTAAAAAGTAAGATTGTTATTTAAAAACAAAAAAATAAAAGAAAAATAAAGAAAAAGAACAAATCATGTCAACATCAGGAAGAAACCATAAAGCAGAACAAATGTTTGCAGAAGCAAATACTCTCCAAAATAAATGGTCTTTTTTCAATAAAGAAGCAAACATGACTGATGCAGCAGAATTATTTAATAAAGCTGCTAATTTATTTAAGGCTAGTGAAGAATACGACAGAGCAGCAGAGGCATATGATCGTGCATATTTATTATCAACAAAATTAGGTGATAATTCAAGTGCAAATAAGGCAGCATTAAACAAAGCATTATGTTTGTCAAAAGGAGCACATCCAGAAGATGCAATTGCACCACTTGAAAATGTTGTTGAGAATTATATAACTAATGGATCATTTTCACAAGCAGCAAAAACAGAACAAGAGATTGCAAAGTTGTATGAAAGTATGAAAAAATATGATAAAGCTTCTGAGGCATATAAAACAGCAGCTGGGCATTATGAAATGGATAACAGACCAGCGTCTGCATTGCCATTTAAAATTTCAGCAGCTAAGCTTGATGCATTAAGTGGACAATTATTGAATGCATATGAAACATTTGATAAGATAGGGATGGATGCACTCAATTCTGGAGCACTTCGATTTGGAGCAAAAGAACATTTTGTTAATGCGATTATCTGCCAAATTGCTAATGACGATGAAATTGGAGCAGAAAAGTCAGTTGAAAAATATAAAGTAA